GAATTTTGTGCTCTTTCGAATGGTCGTCTCGAATTTCTCCTATCTTAGACTGTTACGATGATATTTAAAAAAAAGCATTTTTTGCCTTATGAAGTTGGTGTTTTTAGTCGTCGTATTTTTGGTTCCACAACTCTAACAATTTTCTTGTTAGAAAACTAGTTATCAGATATTTTTGTAGAGATTTCCAAGATGAATTTAATAAAAAAAAATTTAAGTCGATTGGACGAAACCCGACGAAGTTATAGTGAAAATAAAAAAGTGCGTTTATTTCTGTTACACCCGTTAGTTTATCACTAAAGTTAATGGAACGGTACGCAAAACTTTTATCAGAACCAGAAAAAGTTTTTGGTCCTGGTTCCCATCTCTAAAAAGGCTTAATAAAGAACTTAGAAGATAAGAAAAATTATACTGCAACGGGCTGAACATAGTGTTTATTTCACGAATGTGTTATATTTGTCTATTTTATTGCTTTTTTGCTGAAGAACCAGAGAAGAAAAGCTAAAAATTAAATAACACCAATATTTTTAAAAAAACGTGATAAAACAATAAAAATAAATTATTATATAGAAACAGTTTGATTCAAAACGAGTAGATCTTATGTATCATGATAATGTTGCTGATGATGGTAGTTTCATTTTTGGACGGGCTCGTCCAAACCATGACATTTTATAATCAAGTGTTTCACGTAATAAACGTTCTTCATCGGACGAAAAACTTAACAATGTAGATACAGCACGAATCAGATGGATAGCCTAAAACATTAAACAAGACATGACAATCTTTTTTGAATGTCAAAAATTCTTTTTGATGTTAACTATAAGCATCATTTTTATTTTATTGTACTGATAACTGACATTCTCTCTTCCTATTTTTTAAATATTTATTGATTTCTCGTATTAGACTTACCTCATCTTCTGTTGATGTCATAAATTTCAGTACAACATGTTTTAAATATTTAAAATTTGTTCCATTTATACTTCCATTACTGCTTGTCGGTGATGTTGGTGGTTGTTGTTGTCCATTACGAGTCGAAGCTTTATATTTATGAGCAGTGTGTTGGGATTCAATTGTGTGAGAAATAATCGCTGGTGATGAGGTTGTGACTGGGCTAAATGTTACATTTTTTCTTACTGTTGTTGCTACTGGACGTTGAACTTTTGAATTTTGATCGTGATCACTTTGAGTTTCATTACTATTATCGTGATGAATTAATGGATGTGGATAGTGAGTATTTGTTGTTGGTATGACATTATTCAAATCGTTTGGAACAGATGATGATGTTCCAAATTCTCGTTGAAGAGTTTTACGTAAATCATTATAACGTTGTTGTAACGTTTTTATCGTCTAAAAACAGAACAAAAAAAAATAGAAAAATTAGACATTTCTTCGTAAAATAACGTTCGTTATTCTCATAAGTTATTTGAATTTAACATACTCTATTTTTATCCTCAATAGCTTTCTGATACGAATCAATTTGCTCTTGAGTTATAGATGATGATGACTGTTCGTCATTGGCTGGTGTAGTTAATACATTAACAAATGTTGTATCTTCATCCTGAAACAAGTAAAGGTGTGTTATGACAAATAAGTGCAACTATTGTTAATAGTTACCGTTTGTACGGATTGTGTATGTACATTTAATAATCGTTTATCAAACATATCAATGAGAACATCACGTTCTTCAATAAGAAGTCGAAGTCTTTTTAATTCATCATCTTGTTGAACAACTTGTTGATCTTTTTTTTCCACTTGTGCTCGTAAACTATACAATTCATCTTTATTTGAGCTATTTGAGCGTAAATAATTACATTCAGTTGCTAAATCAGTAGATTTTATTAGTAAATCATCACGTTCTAAAAAGAGAAAGTAAACAGAAAAATCGATCTACAAACTCAAAATTTTGCAGTATATCAGTTTATACTGATCAGAGGTCCGTCGAAAATATCTCGGCCCAGTTCTATGTTATGAGGGAAGCTTTTGATCCGAGCTCTAGTTACTAACTAGATTAGACTGCTTCTTCTGTCACGTGACCTAAGAAAAATTTTCGGCCCATGCAGAATCCGATCTGTGCGGATTTTTTGATATTGACTATTTCCGCAAACTTCTCTTCTTTACCTTGTTCAACGTCGTGCATTTGTGAACGTAATGTTTTCATATTTAATTTTAAACTATCGTTATCTGATCGTAAATTATCAATTTGTTTTTGAAATAACGGAAGCTAAAAACCAAGAAAAACATTTAAATCAAAAAACATTTGATAATTTCTTTCTGCAAGAAAATCATACTTTAGTCGAGGTATTCAATGACTTGCTTTCTGCAGTCAGTCTAAATAAAAAATAAAATGATTTGCAGTTTCATATGTACTTAAGCTGAAATTGGATTCAAGTAAAAAAGGATAGATCTCATTATTCGTACTGTATTTCTTTGAATTGTGATCGTAAATTTGACAGATCCGTTTGTAACTGAATAGTTTGTTGAGATAATTCTCCAATAATTTTATCTTTTTTCGTACACGCTTCCAGTTGTAAATCAATCTATAAATGAAAAAGTAAATTTAATCTAATTCTAATAGCGTATAATTAGCATTGAATAGAAAAATATTTACCCATGATTTGAGAATTTCTAGACAGCTTTGAGCAGTAACAGACTCTAAAAAGAGACAGATAGTTGAGGATTTTAAACATGTTGAATATTTTAGTAAAAGCAAAAAGTTTCACACCTCTCACATACGGAGAAAGTAGATCGGATAACACTGTTAACAATTGTGTTTGTTGTTGTTCTTCATCTTGCTCATCAATCAAAACACTGCTCGTATTTGAAAATGTACGATCATGATGGATATTTCTAGTAGCAACCTCATCCTCAACTTCTTGAGAAGATTTCACAGTTGTTTCCTATAGAAAAACTATTTAAAGTTAATTTTTTTCCAAACTTTTGTGATAATACTCGCTTTAACATGTCTGACCAAACTAACCTTTGTTGATGTCAGCTGATGAATCGAGGGCGTTGTTACCTCCACTTTACGTTGTCTTTGTTGTTGTGTAGATTTTTTATCATTACTATCATTTGTTCCACCTGAAAATATTTTCATTTATAGAACACGTCAAAAAGGTCAAACTACTTTACGTACGCGTGGATCTTTTTACTTGTGGACTAGCTTGAATAGCATTACTGTTCGATTCAATATCATCATCAGTTTCTGTGGGAAGAATAGTTGAATTACTTTCCTCTCTTACTTTTTTAATTAAATGCTTGAACATGAGCTAAATATCTTATTGCACGCTTCAATTTACAAGTGTGCAAGCTGCTGAAGCTTACCAATGAAAAACTAAGCCGAAAACTACAGCTGGAGTAGAAAAACACAATAATTAATCAATGTTAAACATTTTCAGCAGACGGAATATTAATTGGCCACTATAGTCCGCCAATAGAATTTTAGCTTCAAACCTTTTCAAAATAGATAATACCAATTATTATGATCATGTATCAGCAGGTACGTATAAAAAAATACTGAAAATGGTGTTGAATGAACCGAAATACAAATGCCTGTCAGCATTAGTCTAATGGACATAAATATGAAAACGTTCTTTCTAGATATACGCACATTATGTAGTCTAATGAACATAGTGAAGAGTCGCTATTTAAAGAAATATTCTCATATTTTCGTATCCCCAGTTAAACTTAACACTCCGTTTTTTCTGTCGGACGAAGGAAATCCCTGAAAGTTTTCACAAAAGAAATTTAGTCTTGATGAAACTATAATGAATAAAAAGAAAAAATTAGATGAATAATAGATACAATTTAAGAAAATCAAACAAATAGATGACTGATACCTTCGCTAAACATTATTCAGGAACAGATAATATCAACTAAAACCGCATCAATACAAACCAAATTCCGATCAGCGTGCTTAATTTTACTACCCCTTTCCTATTAATCATGCTCAGCCTTTTGATGGATAGTGTAGATACACATGCCTACGTAATCAAAGTAATTCCGTTTTGCTTCGAAGCACACATGAAACATATCCATTTGCAGTTCTGTAAAAGTGGGCACAGCGTTAATACAGACGCAGCAAGTAATGACAGGATGATTTTTCTATCGGTAACATCGATAACGTGGGTTTCAATACGTGAATCAATTAATGATTGACAAAGAATATCCAGACGTTCATTACTCGAATCGGCAATCATGAGTTTTTCACTTGCCCAATGCGTGCGATGTAGTTTCAAATTTATCGTGTGCGAACGTATGCCATTCAAAACATCAATGCTGAGAAGTCTTCCTTATACTGTGTACAAATCTTTCTTGTTGGGATTTCTTGCACCGTGTATCGAAATATGAACAGGATAAGTATCCTAGTATATTCAGTCCGCACGCGGCTGTGTTTGATAAGGTAAGATCAGAAACCAAAGAAATAAGTGAGAGATGTGTTGGTCTAGCCAAATACCACAGCTACTATGCACCGAAAACAAACGCGCAAAAAAAAAGAAATTTTGTATATTTCAAAATAATCAGATATCTGATGAGTATGAATGTTAATGAATATATGTAAACTTTGTTCTGAATTTACTAAGCTATAACGTTTTATTATGGTATAATGCATTTTAAGCCACATCCGAACACCAGCAAACTTACATAATATTATGCTTAAATTTATATAGTTTCTTCGCCAACGGAAGATGAGACAAAATTTCGAACAAGCAAATCACTTCGGTTTTTACAATACAGAACGTTTATTTTCTTTTAATGTTACCTTCTGCAGGATAAACAATATTAAAAAAACCACAACAGTATATTTCACGACAAAATGTCTTTTTTAAAATACAAAAAATTTGAAACAAACTAAATGACACCGACAAAAAACGGATGCGATTAAATGAGAGTTTTTGTTATCGTTTCTTTACTTGTGGACAAACAATCAAGCACCGCCACGAAGACGTAAGACCAAGTGTAATGTTGATTCTTTCTGAATATCTAAAATATTGAAAAACAGTAGCACTTATTAATAAAGTGAAGAGCAAAAATTGACTGTGTTAACGTACTGTAATCGCTCAAGGTTCGCCCATCTTCCAGTTGTTTTCCAGCAAAAATGAGACGTTGTTGATCAGGTGGTATACCTTCTTTGTCCTGGATTTTTGCTTTGACATTCTCGATGGTGTCACTTGGTTCAACTTCGAGTGTGATTGTTTTACCAGTTAATGTTTTGACGAAAATTTG